ATATTGGTCAAAATACATTTTTTTCTCATGTCAACTTTGGTTCAGTTTAGTGCTGACAGTCGTGCAGAGGGGGGCAAACTGTTCCCATCCTTAAAACTCTCAATCCACCAAATATAGAGGCTATTTGGCTATTGTCAAGAAGTTCAACTGGAACAAAGATCCCAATCAATAGGGCTTGTTCAAGCCAAACCAAGGACCATGGGCTTCAGAGAGAAGATGGGTTTAGCCATGTGATTTGTTCCCTCTTGCCTGCACATGCAAATAAGATCAAGCATATAGCATACAGCTAAATCCTTGCCCCCTCTTTGCAGATCTGTACAGCTGTACATTTGCTTTTTTTGCAAACTGCACAAAACTGGGACAGATCTAACAATTTGGGTCCACTGACAGGTTGCATGTAATGCAGGAGTAAAAATGGAGAGTATTTTGCCTCCTAAGGCTTCTGGCTTCTTGCTCATATCCTCAACACCCCTCTACCTAGGAAAAAAAAAATCTCTAGACCAGTGTTTCTCAACCTTGGGAACTTTTAAGATGTGTGCACTTCAACTAGCTGGGGAATTCTGGGAGGTGAAGTCCACATCTTAAAGTTTCCAAAGTTGAGAAACACTGCTCTAGACAGTCTCTTTCAAGTTTCTGGAAGGCAGAGGAGCTGATTTACAACTTCCTAACCCTGGAATGTTATCCATCCCTATCCTAAATGGAGCTTTATACCTGATCCATATGTTATTATAAAATCCAATGACCTAGAATCATTTTTTTTCTCATAGAAGCATGTAGTGTCATCCCTTTCTTGGAAGACAATCCCAAATGCTTTAATTGAATTTCACTCTGAATCAACCATGGTTTGAAGGTATACTCATAAAGACATTTAACTGAACCCAGAATTCTGTTCAGTCCAAGGGAGGCTGTCCCATCCTGGTGTCCTAAAACCAGTCAGGCTTGCTGGGCATCCTGGGGCTCACCAAGTTTGGGAAAGCTGACTGATGGTTTCTAACAGCTCAAGGAACACACTCCAGCTGAATCCAAACTGGGGCTTTGATTCTTTTGCCATTATACTATATAGCCTCAAAGCAGATGCTATTAATTGGGAATGGCAAGAGGAAAGCAAGTCAGAGAAGGCCTGACTGTACAGTCCTTCATCCTCTAGATACGTGACTTAGAACCTCAAGTTTTGGTTGCCTTGTTCTGGCTGAACTAGTCCACACCCTATATTAAGCTGTGACATTCATGAATTCCTATACTTTTACTATTTAGGCGAGAACAGCCGCCCATCTCTAGAGCAGCCTAGCTGGATTTAGAACAGATCCGGTGATTGCTGTGACAGAAGTATTGAAAGCACTCATTAATGGAAAACTTGTTAGACCAGGAAAATAGTTAATCCTTGTCACATAGTGGAAAAGTGTTGCCAGCTTAAAACTCAAAACCCAAAGCATTTTCTGAGTGCAAGAGGAGTGGCTCCTTTCTGCAGCTTCTTTGGTGCCATCCCTCTACCATAATGTTGCAGCCCTTTGCTTTCTTTAAATTCAGGAGTCCAACTAATTACTGGCAGGAAGTTCCTTTTTATTTCATTGGTATGCAAATTAACAGAAGTAGAAAAATATTCTAAAGAAAATGTTACAATATCTGTCTCCAGCCTGATGGCCAATTAGAAAATGGTATTTTATTCACAGTACCTCAAGAGACGCTTATGGCCACAAACAGTTCTCTCTTAAATGCCCAAAGTTGAATTTTCATGGGAGCTACAGCTCTTAGGTCTCTCAAAATAAGGCAGGAGGTGCTTTAAATGAGAAAAAAACAAATTATGAACATTTCTCATAAAACAAAGAGAAAAATTTATTATAATTTTATTGAGATTTAGTCCATATTATGTTTACCAATAGAAATGAGAAGATATATGGCCAATTTGCAGGATATTTTGAAGTGTAAAACAGCCAGAATAATACTTTACCTTTGGAAAGCTTTGTTACAGATTCATAGACATGCTGGAAAGTAGTCCTCTTTAGTTTAACTAAACCAGGTAACACCAAGAACCCAACAATTCAACTCTGAGCTACACACATTCTCCACTCTTAAGTAAAGAAAACATACAAATTTTAAGATGAGTAACTCACAAGCGATCAATAAAGGATTATTAATAAATTGTTATTCTTCTCATATGTTTATTACATGTTTCTTGCAGACATAACAAGGTGTAGCAAATCCCAGTTTTATGAAAGTTTTGCATTTCCACTTCAAAAACAGAAGGAAGCACAGAAGAACATGATTATGAGAAAGATTTTTTTTTTAAATCAAGGATTTTCCTCAGACTGAAGCAGAAAAATAGGTTGAATAGCTTTGATAACAATTCTATTTTCTTATGCCACATTAAGAGAGGCATAATCCAAAACAGATACTGTGAAAATAGCAATTCCCAAATAGTTCTGAATGGCTTTAATGAAATAAAACAGAGATGTCACCATGCATATTTTATTTCTGTATTAAACACAATTGCATCTTTAATGTGTATTACTCATTAGAACATTATTTTCTATCATTCACGAACAGCTTTGTGACACCAAAAAGACTAATAAATTGATTGTGGTGTAACATACTTTCATACACTATAACCCACTCCATCAGAAGTAAACAGGAAACACTGGAGTTCTATATGGGTTGAGCTGCTAGAGGGAACAGGCACATACCTTCCAAAAATGAAGAATTTGGCAACGGCTAGGTCGTTCATAATGCTGCCAAAAAGACTTGCGGCCCCTTGCACATATGTCTCAGGCCTTGTGACATTTTCAAGGCTAAATTTCCCAAACTTTAGGATATATATTCAGATGTGCTTTCTGGGAACAAGAATTGTAGCTGGCAATCGGAGGAGTGGTAAACAACCTTTTTTCTTGCTATAGCAGCAGACAGGAATAGCCTGGGATAACATCGAAGCACAGGAGTTATAGCTGCCCAATTTTAAAAATGGTAGCCCTGAGAAAAAATCCACCTAGCAGCTGCATTTACTGCATGCCTCACCACTACAGTGATTGATTGTTCTCGCAATTGCCTTGAAAAATATAACTGGCTGAATACTATCAGTACAGTAAAGGGAAGGTGGCTACCTGTTAGCAGGGGCAGTTACAGTTGTATTGATCTGAATTCTTTACAGGCTGATTCATCTCTTATTGGAGGGGCGGGCAACCTGTGGGCCACATGGGGCTTCTGAACCTAATTTTGCAGCCTTCAATGCCTTGCAGGGTTGCACTACTGAAATTCAGAGTAAAATGGTGATGGTTGGCAACATGATTTTAAATGATGAATTGGAACTGGAGACAATATAAAGCTCTAGAGAGACATACAATTCACTGATTCTTCATGTTCATGTCCAATTTAGCAGTTTACTACTATGCTGAAAATGCTGTCTTTCATCCAACAGCTCCCTTTTCTTCCCATATACAGTGCACTACATTTCTTGCAAGTTTATACATTCCATAACACAGACACTGATATTAATGACTAAAGAAATGTTATTCTAATATATCAACACTAAAACTTTACAGATAACCAGTCACTCGGGTTGTTAGAAACTATAATCTATATTTACTTCAGATTTTTTTGTAGATTTTTGATAGGTTTATTGGGAGGGGGAGTCTTAACTATATTTATTACAAATCTCATTGTGATAATTTGAGCTTATTAACGTTTGTGTGTGTTAAATTCCATTTTATCCAAAGCTAATTTTAAACTCAGAAACACGCAGCCCATATAGTTGTGTGTTTGTTATTTAATCAGGCAGACCTAAATAAAGGATAAGGCCTACCAAACACTGCTTGTTTCTGAGCAAACGTGAATATCATGGCAACTTTTAGTACCTGGTCAAAGAGTTTTAATGAGGCTGGCTAATATGATATCTATTTTATAGAACAAGCTCTGGTAACCTAGTTGTGTAGGTAAGAAATTTTAAAACTATAGCCCTAGTTTTATACAGTTATAAATTTTATAACTGTATAAAACTACAGCTAAGATTGATATGTATGTTTTACTCATCATACTAGTTTGGAGTCAGGTCTCTTTCTTAATAACAAGACTTGAAGGGAAGTTATTATTAAAAATATGTATATACCACTCTCACTTATGTAAAATCCCACGGTAAGTTGTACCACTGCTATCAAGCTTCCCTCGAGGTCAAAATTATGAGTGTGAATAAAAAATTCTGGAAACTAATACAGAACAGATAATCTACATATTCAGGGAAGTTACGCACTGAGAATCTGTAACTTGTGACCCTTAAGTTTCCTAATGCATTTCAAATATTACAGCTACAATTTTCTTCACACTTGCTTGCAATAAGCCTTACTGTGCAAAATAAGGTCGGTGCCCATACATACACACACAGTCAGCCTATCATAGTATACAGTTTAACTTTAGTCCATAAGAATACAGGAGGAATGCTTCTAGACGTCGATATCCCTATTCCATGAACTGGTTAGTTACTGCTAACCGTGTTTCCTCTAGAACGCGTTAGCGACAGGTATCTCTCTCCTCTCCCCAATTTCATTCATATCGAGTTATTTCATAATAACTCGAAACAGTGAGATCGAACTATGTAAATCCGAGCTGCGATTCTATCTATACAGCTGAGAAATTCAGCGCACTAACACATCGCGATTTAAAAATCGCCGTTTTGTCTGAGGGGCGCGACCTCGTTCCAAATGAATTAGCTTCCCCCCCCCCGCCCCAAAAATAAAAATACTATATGCGTTTACGTGGAAGGCAATACGGACTTCTGAGTAAGCCGAGCTGTACGAAGACTCGGGGAAAGAGGGCACCTGTTTTACCAACCTTTGGGGGAGGGCGAGAAGAAGGGGGGAGAATGAACCAGGAAACAGGGCACGCAAAAGAAGCCCCAACAAGACGCGTCGCCCCGAACAGCCGCGGCGCGTGCAATAGGGAGAAACGGAGCTGCTGCGCCGGGCTCTTCCTTCCGCGTCGGGGCGGAGAACGAGAGGGAGGAGCCGGGAAACCAGCGCGTTGCTCCTGCCGGCCTCCAGGAGGGACCAACAAGGAGGAGGTGAGTTTCCCCTCTGGGTGGGGTAACGAGCCAGGGCCGCGCAAGAGCCAAGCTGGGTGGGAAGGGGAAAACTCTGTGCGCGCTTGCCAACTCGGCGCCGCAGGTCGGAAGAGCAGGCAGGCGAAAAGGAGGGAAAACCAGAGGGCCTAGCTAGCTTGCCTGCCCAGAACAGAAGGCCGGACGAAGCGGGAGGGCGGGCTGGACTGGGCCGCTTTTCTTTGCAAGGCAGCGAGAACCCGGAGGCGAGAGCCTGCCGGGTGCCGCCTTTAGTTCTGTTGGAGAGCCCAGAAACAGTCGCCGAAGCGCTGGCATCTGAAAGAGAGGGAATATACATATTGCGGGCGGGAGGGGGGGGGGAAGCATTTTTTTGGTGGGGGGTGTCTTCTGCCAAGCCCTGTAGAGGTCCGGATCGTCGGTCTTTGCGGCTTCCTCTTCTGCCCTGGCCCAGCGGCTCCTGGTATGGCATCCCAGGCCGCAGGACCGCTCGGGCTCTTCTAGGCAAGCCTCTCCTCTTTGGCGGGCTTTCCTTTCCCCCATTCTGACGCTCTCTCAAGTGGGGCTTGACTGAACGCCCTGAGATTCTCCCATTAACGCCTGGGCCCAGGCGAAGCGATACTGTGGGAGAGAGTTCTCCTGCTCGAGTGCAGAGGGCCTTTCCTACTTTGCCAAATGCCCCCACCGCGCAGACCCACACTTGCGCGTTCTTACAGGTCGGAGAGTGCGCATTTAAGTGGTTCGTTTTGAAACAAAAGCACTGCGGGAGCGACACGTGGCGGGAATCTTTTAAAAGGCAGAATAGACCCGCTGCTTTCCTATCGAAGGTTACTTAGGCTGTTGAGTAAAACCTCTCTTCCCTACACCTACTAGGCAAGGGAAAGAAATGTTGGACTATACGAATGGCGCCGTAATTCAGCTTATTCGCTGGCATCTCTAGCTAGAAGATTCATCATCCGAACGTGCTAAGACCAGCCTTCCTCAAACTGGCGCCCTCCAGATTTGTTGGACTGTAGCTCCCATCATTCCCAGCCACCGTGCTGGGGTTTTGTGGATGGGAGTTGTAGCCAGTCCATCCAGAGAGGGCACAGGCTGAAGAAAGCTGAACTAGACAGGATTGGCCTAGATGGTTACACCTGCTGAGCTGAAACAAGAAAGCCTATTCTTTGAAGCACTCTTAAATCCACCTTTCTGATCAGGCTCGTGACATTTTGTGGCTTTCTAAGTTCCGTGGAACCATCACTTACTTTAGTGCTGCCAGTGATATTTTCTCCATTTGTTGAAGCAGGGCAGGGGTCCTTAACTTCTATGGCCAGTACGCAGGGTGGAAATGTAGAGAGTGTAGGAAGACTGTGGCCATTGTGTAGAAGCTGCTTATTCAGAAAGTGCCTGCTATGGTGATATGGCCATTCATAAAGGTACAGTGTAGAACGTTATCAAGGCTGGAATTGGTGCATAATTCTAAGCTATTGTTGCTGATCCCTGGTTTGTTGAATAAACTACAGTTGGTTTATTGAAACAACTTCTTAAGTCAAAACCAGAATCCACATTATAGTTTAATATGATGTGTGATCCAGCCAAAGTCTCTTTTCATAGCTGCTCAGAGTAGTAGAGTGGTGATGTACAGTTCTATATGTCACTATTTTCAAATGGCAGACTCCAGTTATTTTGGTAGGAAGGTTGAACAAATTCACCTTTTTGCAAATGATGAAATATTTTGCTGATTTGCAACTCAGATTTAGCAACACAATAAAGCCAGTAAAGGCGAATAGTGAAGTAGATCTATGCACAAGCAGTTTAACTTAAAAACTGTTGTAATGTGCCAATTCTCAACTCAGTTGTTTCTGATTCAGGGCTTTTATGTTGCCTTCCATGTTACTTTTTGTGAAGGGAGAAGTAGATATTGTATTTGTTATTATACAAACTTGTTTAAACATACAAAGAAAATTCAGGCCTGTTTCTTCAAGATTACTGAAATTTGTGCACATTATTTTGAAATAAAGGTAGGAATGGCCCTTCTGTCACACATCCTAAGACATGAAAGAAATTATCCTTAGAGTAAGAATTCAAAGAGGCTGTGGATCCAAAAGGAAATAGATTGTAGTATAACTCTGGGCCCTTTAATATCCTAATATGCGTGTAGGCAGGAATAGAATTGTTATAATTGCCCATCAATGCATTCCTGGAAAACTGCTTGAAATGTTCCAGTCAGTCTGAACTTAAGGCTACCATATTTGGGCTGCAAAACTCCATAGGATAACTAGATGTAAGGAAGAGTTTTCTGTATCCTTGTCACCATTTAGTGTTTGTCTGGATTTTTGCAGCTCAGGTATGATAGCTGCAGCTACACCATTTCTTTGGAGATTTGTATGAATAAGTTCTTATTTATATTTGAAAATTTGTAGGGTTTTTTTTTTTTTAATGGAGGGAAGTCTGAATATTATTCCAGCTTGGGTGTACTCAGGAGTCTAATGATTTTCATCTATAGATGGATTTCTCTAAAACAAAAAAAGGGAAGTATAGGGAAACAGTACAGTATAAATATGCTATTGTGTTATATTTTCTGGAATCAAGACTAATTACCAATCTTAAGTCATGTATTGTAAAGGTAATTTTTTCCCCCTAAATCTTGACGCATACATTACTTGTTAATGCCTGGATTGATGTGAAGTTCAGTTTGTTCATTTTAGGGAAGGATAAGCAAGAGACTTGAAGCTGGCGAAGTTTCCTGCCGATGTTCAGGAAAGTTATTTGATGTGCCTAAGCAGCTAGGCATAAAAAGAACTATGCGCATGCCCGACCCATGGTTAAGGCATATGGTAATTATTATATTACAAATACACACACATTATTAAGGTTTATTTAATATTTGTAAAGTAGAACTTTCAATTATATTGTTTATATGTATCTGTAAGTATATTACAGAGTTATCTTGCTGTATAAACAAGAATGGATTAAATTATAAAAAAACCCGAGATTCTTGCATTTAAGGATGTACATAAAATCTTTTATGGGTAGAAGACCGACATTAAATGGGAGGGAAAAAAAAAACTCTTAAAATGAATCCATATTGTGGGGAGTGTTTCAGTTACAAGTGAGTGATACTTGGCAAGTGCACGCAGATCTGTTAGCACATAACACTGTGACAATAGGAATAGCAGACTGGAGGGAAATACTTGAGGTGTAAATGTATGCACTTTCTTTGAGGGAAGAGGGGTGGCTTTTGAAAGTTTCTATACTACGCATAAATAGTTCTTGGATGCTAACCACACGTTGTTGGTTTAAATCTTAGTACAGTGGTCAGGAATAAAAGAGAAGCAGATTTCAGCTTGGTGTATTACAGTGGCTTGGTATAATTCAATAGAGCTGTTTTATTGGGCTCTATTAAACTGGCTAACCTTAAGCTTTAGCATTGACAGGAGTTTCAAATAAGAACCCATATGTAAAGTGCAATATGGAATTTTAATTACAGCTTTCAAGACATGAAGTGGAATAAATTGTCCCAATTCTTTTTTCTAATGTACATTTCTTTTCTCAGAAACTTAAGCTTGATAAAAAAGCTGTGTGAGGAGGAGAAAGTATATTTTCACATGTCAGTATAATCTTAGCTAGTTTTGAAAAACATGATGTGAACAAATTCAAATAGAAATGTTTATCTTAGATTTATGTTCCCTCTTAATTCAATTTAAATTTTTAACTATCTTATGCCCAGCCCAGACATTACTGATGTTAATGAAAATTCTTGTCTAGATATGTTTTTGTTTGTTTTTAAGTTCTGTGCTTGGGGATATTTTAATAATTTGAATCATAGAACAAAAATGGTTAATGACTTCTTGGAATTTAACTGTAATAGTTACAGAGTCATTGATTAAAAGTCTACAGTAGTTTAGAATGCCATATTTTAAAATAAGATTTTAAAAGAAATGAAAGTTAAGCTAATTAGAGCCAGGAGGAGAAGCTAGAGTTACTACCAGAAGTTACAGCCAGTGACATTTGGTATAAGATAGTCCCCTGTTCTTGGTAGACGTAGCCTATTATATTTTTGAGTTAATACTATTGTTCCTATTTATACTATTTAGTGAGGTTATTAGCCCTTAGTCCAAATCTGTGTACAAGGACTTCTTGAAAAACCTTCACTGGTTTCATATTTGTTTCCTGGTTGATATGCTTCAGAATAGTAATTAAAGCCCTGAATGGTTTTAGGATAACTGGAGGATTGGTTTCTCCAATATGAGCCTTCTTGCCTTTTGGGGATACCTCTCCTCTGTTCCAACATACAGAATTTGCATGATTAGGTTTGGAAGGATCTTTTTGGTAGCTAAACGTAGGAATTCCATTTGCAAGAAGGAGCAATCATACATTTTTTTCAAAATGAAAACTATAGAAGGAAAAACAAATGACAAAAACAAAAGCATCTGAAAAAAATAAAATAAGTTTGTGTGTATACATATGTGATATAAAGGAGACATACAAACATTTTAAGCATTGTATTCAACATTTAGACATCTAGAATGATATTTGTAAAGGCAAAAAGTAATAGATTATGAAAAAATATTGTTGATAGAATTTAACCAGTGCTGTTTTAATATCACTGATTTAAAAATATTTTAACTATTTTCATTGCTGTTGAAGTGTTAGTTTCTGCTGTTTTAATGTTTTCAGATATGGGTAAATGTTAAAAATGAATCTCATCCATCCCATTCTCATCATTTTCTTTTTTTGTACTCATATGTATTTGATCTTCAGGAGACATTACATGTAACAACTTAGTGTATTTGTTGGTGCCATTAGCACAGTTTCGTTCTTGTATCTTCTCCCATCAATGCTCTGGTCAGCAAAGTATGATTCACTTCTTTCCTTTTTCGAATCTTTTATGCTTTAAGTGCTAGCATCACGATGAAAAATGAAATGTGTGTCTAATTGAATCCTTTGCAGCTTGGTGATTGTAGAACACAGGAGAAGGCAAAGTTTGCTATCTAGGAAAGCCTATTGGCCAAGAATAACGCATATCTAGAAAAAGCACAGAACACAAGCTGTTTTCACATCTGGGGGCCTGCTATAAAAATCAGTTCTTGTATTGAAATATTGAGTACTTTTGCCTAGTACTAACAACCCTATGTGAGAAATATTGCATGCTAATAAAAAGTGAGTGAACTTGGTTCTGTTTGCAGCTTGATAGATCTGAGATGGAGTCAGTGCAACATCCAACCCTATGCTCTTTTAAAGTACCATCCATGCTAAAATGTGTCTACTTGAGCAGTTGCTTCAACGTGGTACCCAGTCTTTTTCAAAACAGTAGAAATGACTAGGTGTTCTGGTGTCTTGAAGATCCTTTGTATCCAAATTTTATTTATGGATTTATTGTCTTAAAGTGTTATTTTCCCACTTAAAGGATCCAAATAGGTTATAGCAGCAGTGTCTAGATGAAATGAACGGAACCCCTGAAAATGTAGCACTGAGCCAAGGTAAAGATTTTATGTTCTGAAGTATTATTTGTTAAAAATGTCCTAGCAGCCTGAATTTGAGATGTTTTATGTTGATAATAGTTATAATTGAAAATAATATTATGGTATGTAAGAGAAATGAATATTAGAAGTCCAGTAGGATTGGTTCTTAGTAGATTCCCATAGAAGAACTAGTAGGTATCTAAAATTGGATTTACAGCTAGATGCAAAACTATTTTGGAGGATAAATGCAAGGGAGAATAGACATTTTGGGTTAAGTGGCCATGTCAACTGCTAGCTCTTTCCATAATAACTTGTCCTCTTTTGTGATGAATCAGACCAGGTGTGCCAAGGTAATGTTTAAATTAGAAACATTGACTGTTGCAAACTAGGATTTCACTAGTGCTCTTTAATATCAAAGGTAAACAGTGGCTTTGGTCCTCAATATGCAGTGGGTGCCTTCCTTCCCAAGACAAATCCCAGGCCTTTAATATAATGATTATGCTTCTGGGATTCTCATAGGTACCAGCATACTTATGAAATACTCATGACAGGTGGCTATAGCTCAGTGTTTTGTTTGGAAGTGTACCCATCTGGCCAAGAGAAAAAAACCAAGATCACTGGACAATAAAAAGGAAGCTTGTTACTTTGTCTTCTGGTCAAAGGTTTTTTTTTTTTTTGGATTGACTGCTCCTGTCATGACAAATTCCCGCTGGCCACCATTTTGTGGGAATTCTCATAGTCTCACAAGATCCTAAATGTACCCATTTACTCAAAACAGTTTTTCATAATTTGAGGCTGGAAAAAGCTGGTTCTCATTGGTATCTAGATTTTTAACAGAGGGCCTTTAGAAACCATACTAAGATTAAATATGGTGTTAGTACTGACATACAGCTTTACTACAATACAGTATACAGAAATGTTGGTGCTTCAGTAGATAAATCTCAAAGCACATGTCTTAAAAATACACCTTAACCATATTGCTGCAGATGAGATGCGAAAGTAAAAATAAATGTGTGAATATCCAACAGACTTAATGGGAGTGCTTCACAATTTAAAACACTGCATGCTATCCTGAAAACACAGATCTCAATGCATGTGATGTATATATTTCTTATATGTTGGAAAAAAGAGGTGTACTAAACTTTTAGCATAGAATCCTTAAAATTTCTCAGCGTCATGTTAATGCACTGACTTGTACAATTACACCTTTTAAGTTCTCAACTATTGTATAACAGCTATATTGATTCCCCCCCCTCGAATATGAATATATGAGAGAACAATTTGCTCAAGGCCACCCACTGCATGTCTGAACTTGGCCAATCAACTCAGTTTCCCAGTTCCTAGCCCAAAGGTTTTGTTGGACCCCACCAGGGACTTTATAGGAAGATTTAAAGCAACATTGGTTTGCTGTTTGACCCAGTAACGTATACGATCTTAAATTAATATCCTTCAACACACTCTGGTTTGTGTGGTTTGTTTTATTTGCTTTATATACTCTGGAGTTAGGTGCCCCAAGGGAAAATCTTAACCATATTTTGTGAATACAAAAAGCTTGAGGTCTCTCTAGTAAAAACTTCCAGAAAATTTGCTGTTGACCTTGGTTGTCTACTGGACTGCAATTTAATACATGGTGACCTTCTCATTCCAACCTTGCACATAGTTTAAGGTAAATCAGAGTTTTCCCAAATAAACAATTACATGATCTTTCAGCTTAGCAAGAACAATTTCCTGTCTTGATCTTACACTTAACCTCCCTCCTCCCCACTAAAGGAAAAAAAAAATGCTTCTGTTGTCATGAATTCCTGTTGTTTTGGATATGATTTATAGTCATACAGTTACATGGCCATGATCACTGTTGCTGGCATAGCTCTAAAAATTAGCCTCACTTCTGCATAAAATTATTAGCTTTCTTTTAAATTTAATCTATTGTCTTATAAAACAGATGGTTATGTTAGATGTTTTAGCTACAAAAACTTCAAATCAGGAGGCTGCATTTGAACATTCATTATTTTCATAATTGGACTGGACATATGAAAATGAAATTGTTTAGGATAAATCGAATCATTCTCTTCTAAGATTATGGGATAAATAATTCATAGCAGTATTTAGGTACCAAATCTGTACTACTTAGAAATACTTGCAAAGTGGCATGCTTAATGTATAATGTTTGTACCAAAGAATGGTGTCAGTTTTTATCACAAATTTAGAGAGCCAGTTTGGGGTAATGGTTAAGGCATCAGGCTAGAAACCAGGAGTCTGTGAGTTCTAGTCCTGCCTGGGCACAAAGCCAGCTGAGTGACCTTGGTCCAGTCACTTTTGTTCAGCCCTAGGAAAGAGGCAATGGCAAACCACTTCTGAAAATCCTTGCCAAG